CGTCATTAAGTTTATTTCCACTTGGCATTTTTTAATGTCATACATTTTTTGTCATTTCAATGCCTAGTGGAAATTCGGCATTAGTAAAATTTTGTCGTAAGCGTCATTTGTCCACAATTTGGCAGCCACTTTGTATGAAATACGACAAAATGTGATCAAAATTTGTACCAAATTAACGCCACTTTTTACTCAATATCTCGGAAACTAAAGGTGATATTCAAAAATGGAGAACGCCATTTTTAAGATATTTTATATGGCTGCATCACTAACTAAATTTTTACTAAATTGTCGAAAAAATTTTAGTCAATATCTCAGAAACTAAAAGAGATATCTAAAAACTGACCAATCGAAAGACCTTATTTCAAAATATATAACTGCATCTAGAACTAAAAATCGTCAAAATGGTGTTTACGACAATCTTTTACCCAGGCGACGATTCATATGTATGTATGTTTAAATCATACTCTATGGGAAACAGGGCAGTAGATTCGCGAAATCTGTAATAGGTGACGGAAATTGCAAAAAAATATCTTTAGTTTTACATGTTTTTATTATTGCTTTCCACAAAAATCATTCGTGCTCTTGTAGTGTACAATAGAAATAAAAAATTAAAAATTGTTACTAAACACAAATACTAAACATTATTAGTACGCCTAACTTATTTGTTAAGCATTTAACAATATACATACATGCATACATACAAATTTAGAATCATTAATTAAACTCGAACTGATTGTTAACGAATTTACTTTAAATTATGTATTCAAAAATCAAATTAGGCAAAGATAAAAAAGTATGTTTGACCAGTGAATGTGCGCGATAATTCCCAAAACTATAAAAACTCCGCTAAACGAAATAAATAAATATGCAACATAACAAATACTTACTTACATATTAGGCAATTAAATAATAATAAAATATATATATAATAAAAAGTATATAAATATGAAGGCGAAGTATTAAAATCAGTTTTACCTTTTAGCGCAAATGTAGTTACTACAAATATTAAATCGTATATGAGAAACATCTCAACATAACTGTTAAAAATAATGAATGTAGTTAACTTTAAAATAAATCCCTACAAAACTAAAATTTACAGCATAAAAAGAAAAAAAAACAAAAGAAAATAATTAAATGGATTTTAAGCCGCACAATTACACTTGCACACACGAACACATATACTCACACGTTTAAGTGGATAATAAAAATGCAAACAAACTTGAATGCAGAAAATATTAAGGAGTGTGTTAATTAGATTCATTTTGTAGGATAGATTAAGTTTTTTCGATAAAGGGGTAGGTCATACAGTTGTGCATTGTGTTTTCTGTCTTCATGAACTTTATTCACATTTGTCGTTAGTTTTGCCTTTGTCGGAGGAGCTTAACCACTGTAGCGGTTATTAGTATACACAGCCAGTACATTGCCGGGATTCGTTGTCATGATTAAACTACGTTAGCTGAGTATTTTAAAATATATCTATGTATGAAGGATCAGAATTTGTGGTAGGTAGTGCCTGTCGCGGTAGCTTTTCGTCTTTTGTCTGTATGCCCATCAACGCCTTCGCTGACGCTGCCACTCGCTATCATTAACAAAGGAAGTATCCGTTGCTTCACAACTAATGAATACAAAATAAAATAAAATAACTTACTACTAATACTACTAATAAAACTGCATATTGAAAAACGGAAATCCCAACGTCACTCACACTTGCTTCCTTCCCTTCCACGGGTATGTTTTGCTTTTATTATTTCAGAGGACACAACCTCTGCGACACATTCCACCACATACGACACCAGCGCACTACTCAACACCACTGAAGGTTTGGAAATTCACGTGGAGATGCCTTCCAAGCAACGTCGCAACAAAGATAAAAAACAACAGGATCTAGAATTAGCATTAAAACGCAAATTAAATCGAGATTTGAAGGAACGTTATTTTCATTTGCACAAGACCAGTTTGCTATGCTGTTTTGCACGCAGTTACCGTTACAATCGCATGCTCAACGATACACCGCTGATGCAGGCTGCGCTGAAATTGCTGCCTAGCAGCAACGCCTATCCGCCGGAGCGTGGCACCGAAATCAAATATTTTCAATCAATGGTCACCTGGTATAAGACAGCGGTAAAGCTAGCTTCGCCGAATTTGTATGGCGAAAAAGTTCGCAAGAGTAGGAGGCGTGTGAAGCGGGAGCTTTTAGCGCAAATTAAGCGGAAGGAGGCAAGCTGCAAGCAGGATTTTGTATTCATATTTGTAGTATTATTGCGGGCAATGGGACTACAGTGTCGGTTGATCGTAAATATGCAGCCATTGCCGCTGCGACCGGCGCAATCGGACTTGCTCACGATAAAAATGAAACGAGATGGGGATAAGAAGGAAGACGAGGCAGTGGATGCGAAGAAAGCGAGGGTGGAAAGCGGTGTCAAAGCAGCTAGTGAGAAGATAGAAAAGCTGCATGTTGGAAGTGCTGACAAAGCGGTTAGGGAAAGGGGGTTGAAGAGTGGGGAAAAAAATGTGAATGAGGAGAAGAAAAATTGGAAAGGGAAAGGGGATAAAGTCAGTGGTAAAGAAGGAGAAAAAATTCAAGGAAGGGGCGCCAAAGAAAAAGAGCGAAAGGAGATGGATGCTTCAAAGGACAACACCTCCGATAAAAAGCGCGCTGTACGAAATAAGGGCACTGAAAAAGAAAAAGAGCAGCCACCGAAAAAGTCTCACAGAGAACACAAAAAGGCGCCTAGCGCCAAGTTAGCTGAATTGAAACAAGTCGAAAAGTTAGCTGACAGCGAAAAATTTAGGTCCGAACTTAAGTCCGGGTCGCCTGAAGTTCAACAGACTAAAGATACAAATAAAAAAGCCGTTTTATATGAGAAGGAACCTCAAAAAGAAGAAGATAAGATAAAAATTTACAACTCCAACCGTGAAGACACTGTAAAACACGCACAGCTCACTCAAAGGAAGCCACAACTGTCTCGACTGAACAGGGACAAAAAAGCCGCTGCCAAACCGGATGCTGGTGATTTGTCCGCTGATAAACCTGGTCTCATCGTGGAAGCCACACCCATCGCGCGACGTACGCGCAAAGCCTCAACCGAAAAAGCAATAGCAGCAGCAACAAAAAGCGCGAGACCAGTAATACAAATTGGCTCGCCTAAAATACCTAAAATCATCATTCAATCTGGAAAGACAATAGTGAATAACGCCGTACTTAGTGAGCGTGAAAATCAGCCGCGTGCCAGCGGCAGCACAACAGCACCGCCACGTGCACGCTCGCGCAGCAAATCTCCAAAGTTACATATCTCTCCTACTTTTCTGCAGAGCACTAACTATAGAAATAAGTTTCCAGAGTCGACAGTAGGCGAAAAAAAACTGCAAAAACGCGCAAATTCAACTCGCCCTAACTCAAAGAGCCCCGTACAGAAAGTGCAAATTTCCACCGATTTTTTGCTAAACCAACACACCAATGCAACTGAGCCGGCCGCAACGCGTATTTTACGCTCGCGTCAGAAACCCAATGAGGTGGTGGGAGGTGGGCAAGAAAAACTGCCAACGGTACCACAGTTGGACGGCGCTGATGATTGCTTAGAGAAGGTGAGTAAAAAGAAGCGACCAAAATTGGAAAAATTAAAGCAGAAATCGCATTCGCGAGACGAATCCGATGAAGATTTTGAGCCATCACCGCCGAAGCAGCCTAAGAAGGCACCAAAAGTATCGGTGAAGAAGGCGGCCATAGACAGACGTGTTTTGTCGTCCGATGAAGAAGAAAGCAAAGGTGGCGCGGTGAAGCGTAATCCGACAGCAGCAGACATCTGGGTGGAAGTTTGGTCCGATGCGGAAGAGCAGTGGGTTTGCATAGAGTTGTTCAAAGGCAAATTGCATTCCGTGGAGGCGATAAGGGTGAGTACTTAATACAAAAAAAAAAACAACTAAATTTTTTCATAAACTGTATATGAATTTTTCTTTTAATTTTTTAGAAAGCCGCCTCCTCCAGTTTCGCCTATGTGTTCGCATTCCAGAATGATTTGAGTATCAAGGACGTGACTGCTCGTTATTGTCCCAATTGGGCAACAACTGTACGCAAGTCGCGAGTCGAACGCGCATGGCTGGAGGCAGCCTTTGGACCGTACTATGGTCAGCGCACACAGCGCGACATTCGCGAGGATCAGGAGATGCGTCGCATACACGAGGAGAAGCCAATGCCCACGGCGATTGCCGACTTTAAAGATCACCCGCTATATGCACTCGAGCGTCATTTGCTCAAATTCCAAGCGATTTATCCACCGGATCCACCAACATTGGGCTTCATACGCGGCGAAGCGGTCTATGCGCGAGAGTGTGTACACACTCTGCACTCACGTGAGATTTGGCTGAAGCAGGCGCGCACTGTTAAGCTGGGCGAGCAGCCGTATAAAATTGTAAAGGCGCGACCTAAGTGGGATCGGGTAAGTTTAAGAATTGAGATGAGTAAATTTTCGTTTTTGTACAAGTATAGCCACACCACAGTTGACGCAAACAGTTATAAAAGATCAACCGCTTGAGATTTTCGGTTATTGGCAAACGGAGGATTACGAGCCGCCAACAGCCGAAAATGGTTTAGTGCCGCGTAACGCCTACGGTAATGTGGAGTTATTCAAGGAGTGCATGTTACCCAAGAAGACGGTGCATTTACGCTGTAAGTTGCGATTTAAGGCCAACCAAAATGTGGGTTGCTCAATGAATTTCCTTCTTTTTCAGTACCTGGCTTGAATCGTATTTGCAAGAAGTTAGGCGTCGATTGTGCGCAAGCCGTGACAGGTTTTGATTTCCATCAAGGCGCCTGCCATCCAACGTACGATGGTTTTGTTGTATGCGAGGAGTTCGGCGATCAAGTGACCGCTGCATGGTATCAAGATCAGGAAGAGCAGGAGAAGAAAGAGCAAGAAAAATATGAAGCACGTGTCTACGGTAATTGGAAGAAGCTCATCAAAGGTCTGCTCATACGCGAACGGCTAAAGAAGAAATATAATTTTTAATTGTACGCATGGAATATATACATTTGGTCTTTAAGTTATGTGTTTAAGTGTTTTTGTTTATATCCACAAATTTGTGTAACTTTTTGTTTTCCGCCTGACGATTAACCATATTTATATTTTAAGTTTGAGTGTTAGTTAATAGTTTTCTAAGCGCCTTTAATGCGTTGTTTCGACGGTATTTTTTTTTTTTTCATACATTATATACACCGATCATATCTACTTTTTGAAACAGTTTTCAGCATCAATTTGACTGTGGTAAATTTGTATACTATTTTTAGTTCCATACGCGAAGTTTTTGCTGAAAAAGTGGCCCTTCGTGCTTATACATTTTCAAAAATCATCCAAAGGAAAATTTTCGACCCTTACATTTTTCGAAGCAACGCTTTAAAATACTAAATAATCATTCACATACTTACCTTTCGATAGTTAGAAAATATTTTTTTATTAAATTTCCTCAAGTGAGATGAATATTTAATGAAACATTCAGGTGGTTGAGATCAGTCTATGATTATAGTCCTTACAAGCAATTTTTTTGTCTGTTAATTTTCTTATTACTTTTTTGCCTCAATTCAGTATATGCCCTAGTAATTTTACCAATCTGTAATAGCACACATTTTTTGTTAACCTTGATTTGTGATTTAATAAAGAAAACAACTTACAAAAGAGAAGTATTTTCTATATACAAAAGGTCGTTTTATTTAAAAAGTTCTGATCCTATTATGATGTCCCCGGTGCAATTTTTTTTTCTGGGCAGCTTAGTGAGCAACGAGAGACACTTACATATGTGCGAGATGCGCAACCAACGCAAGTTAAGAGGAAGGTTAGACTACAGCTGGGAATTCACGACGGCGGCGAACCAATTCCGACGGTGAATAACCCGAAAATACACGGAGTAGTATTGGAAGGATGCAATCGGAAAATATATGATTAGCTTATTGACTTCCCGAAACACAAACTAAGAATTCGAATAGATATCTTAACAGGTCATTGCAGACTAAGAAGTCACCTACATAAACTCGTTTCCGTAGCAGGACAGCTGAAACTTCTGAGCCATGCTATTCGAATGTTATGTGGTGTCGAGGAGAGGAGGGAAGCCATGCATTCGCATGCACTTGATGACACCAAACAACCTACTGCATTTCCTAAGGGAGCTAGGGTTGAGCAAGGTGCTGTAAGGAGCAAGAGGGAAAAATAGATCTCCTGATCGAAGTGCGTTCCTCAAAGGAATACCTTTTTATCAAGGGAACTGAGAAGCCAATTTCACACGATTTACAGATCTCATATTGTGCCCGTTCTTTTATACGACGCAGAAACTTTGACGAATTAGAACAAGGATATGGAAGAGGGATATCGAACAGGATAGATTGCTCTGCTTTCTACATACGCCAGCGGAACGACCCAGATTTACATCTGGCCCAAGGATTGTCACTCCAGCATCATTCCCCAAAAAAAAGTTGTATACTGTTACAATACGAGCTTTCTAATGAACTTGGTTTAATTAAACCCAAAAAATATGTATGTACCTATGCATGGAAGGTTTTTGGGTAAAGAGATCCTTTGACTTGGCATCCATAAAGGGCTGGGATTATTCGCATATCCCTTCGGATATTTGTGCATCCGTGTAAGATTGGGATATTTTGTTAATATCCGTTCTCTTTTCTTATCCGGGAATACCCCTTTTTATGAGATATTCGAGTATCCGCATATACAAAAATTCGAGTAGAACTCCCAGTCCTAAATGTAGTTTCTGATGTTGTGCACAGGTACTAGCATGCGGCTGAAAAGAAAAATAATATACACGTCTGTTTCATTGTGGAAAGAACTCGCGCTATCGGTCTAAAGTAAAATTTTATGCAGCCAGGGACTGAGGGCTTACAGTAATCAGCGTATGCCAAATCGTTCATGCAGCTTGGAAATAAAGCAAACATTTTAATAAATCTCACATGTAAACTATAGAGTAATTCGATAAGACCGCAGATGTTCGCGATAGGGCCGTTGTCGGCATAAATATCGGAAAAGTACGGTGCGATGACTCCACCAGCCTAAAAACCAAATCAAATGGGTGCAGTTTTTCTTATTAACGAATCCGTTTAGGTAAAAACGTGCATCATTGTTCAGGACGATTTTTTTTTAATCGCCATCAACGTTTGGATTACGCGTTTTACGAGTACAGCTCTTTGAATAACTTTGCCGCCAAAGCCTGTAGTATTAATTGTCTGAAAAAATATAAAAAAAAGCGTTAACATATCACAAATAATTGCTGCCAAAGATTAGCACCACCATATTCGATTTGTTTAATTTTATGTTAAATTAAATATTTATTTGTTGCTTATTATTTACCATACAGAATATATGTGATAAAGTTAACCAATAGACTAAAGTCTTATTCAATACTTTTATTATTTATCAATTGAAATTTCTATTTCCTAGTCAATATATCCAATTTAAGCGAATTTAAATAATTTATATCGAAATTTGTTCTTTTGTTTTTATGTTATTACGGGTTTTTAATGGACACATCAAAAATATTGAATTTTAATTTGCGAAAAATCTTACTTTACACTAAATATGTAATGCACATTTTTCCGTTTTTTCTGTTCTATTTTTAATTATTTATATTAGGCGGTTGTAAAGTAGAAGCGTTGTATATTTATGCGAATTCTTGCAAATGGAATGCGACGTACTGGGGCATAAATCCATAGCAGTGCTATAACTCTGCTTATTAAGTACAATGCGGAGAATGTAATCTCATAAAACGCACGGAGAAAATTGTTGCGCAGGCAGATAGAGAAGGTAATGCAAAAAAACGCAGTCAGAAATAAGTGAACTAAAATCCATATTCAAGCAAAAGCGAGGATAATTCAGAATATGTAGTTTTGAAAGAGGCAGCAATAACTCGATTTAAATTTATGCCTCAACATTTGTAGTTTCCCTTACTTTCTCTTGCCAGTTGCAACATTTAAACCTCGAAAGTCTTTTCTTCCTCTAAAACTAATTTAGATAAACAACTAAAAAAAAACAACAATATAAAATTTAGACCTTGATTTAGGCTAGTAAAATCTCAACTTCTCGTGAAAAGTAAATAAAATTAGATACCAAAAACAATTTCGTGGCTGCCTATCTGGGTTAGTTTTCAAAAAGTTCTTTGGTGTCTCTTTATAGTTGTTTTTAGCTGTGCCCTTTCACCGCACAACTGTCCAATCTCTCTTCCTCCCTCGTTTCTATGACTTTGCTGTTGTGCTGCTAAGCGTGCCACAGTAACTTGGTCCTGTGCGCTGTATCGGCGCCACTGCTGCATCATTCGCCTTTGAATTCCTATTTATATCATTGTTTGCCGCATACTCAGCCGCTTGCTGTTGTAGTCGTTGCTTGTAGGCATTTTGCACTTTCAGATAATCGATATACATGCGACGCGCTTGATTGAGTACCCGCGTCACATCGTGCTTGCGCACCATCTTATCGAAATGCATTGCAATCTCATTGTAGTCCATGCCATTTTTCATAATCGTTTGACGGTGTTGAAGCAGCAATGTTAAACAGAGAAATACAAGAAAAGGATTGCCACCGCCGAATTCTGTGGGCGGCGGCAAGACTGGCGGGGTGGGCCCCAGTGAGACACCACCACCGGATGCACTTACATCAGCTGCCGCCACTTCTTCATTTCGTGCTGTTGGTTTAGCGAATGAAATTTCATCAACTGCATTTGTGGCCAACTCTACAGGCGATGCATTGGCGGTGTCTGTGGAAATCGGCACCAATACTTCTGGCAAACTACTACTGTTGGGCAGTACACCTGTCACGCCATCTATTCGCAAATTCGTGGTTGTATCGACAAAGGGATTGAGCATGTTTTGCACTGGTAATGCAGTGTTTTCAGCGACGCCATTTACTTGGCCGTCATTATAGTTGTTATCAATTGCCTCGCTAAGCAGCTCATCTACATCGTGCCATGCTGTGCTGGTGGACACATGCTGCAAAGGTTCTATGCTGCTTTTCGTGCGACTATTTCGGCTTCGACGGCGTATAAGGAGCTCGCTTATATCAGGACATGCAACTATTTCATTTTCTTTCAGATCCTCTACCAAGTCCAAGGAGTCTTTATCCAGTTTTTCATACTCAATGCCACAATTGACAGATGGCGGCAGGCCAACAGGATCTCCAAATACCTGTCGGTCCAAATTATCAGCTTCCAAGCGCAATTCGCGTGTAATGGCTGTTGTCATTGGGTAATACTCTTGATCTTGACTATCATCGGGCGTTAAACTTGGTTCTGCTGGCAGCTTTTTGATGGGTGTGCGCGCCTCCTCCCGTAAACAACTTGCATATCGTTCACGTTCTTCCGCTGTGTCAGCTTTGCGTTCGTAGGTTGGTGTGCGGTCGGGTGTTGGGGCCGCCGAAGAGCCAAGCGATGCAAGCTCCGATTGCAAACTATTATTGCTGGCATTATTTGCTTGTTGTATTGCTGTCGCCGCGGTGGAGCCACTCCATGTGGTATCAGGCACAGACGATGAATCTGATTCGTCAAGGGAGGAGACAAAACCGCTTCGAGTTAGATGCACAAGTGGATGTGGTGTTGTGAATGCAGCTGCTGATGTGACGGAAGCTGCTGCGCTTGTCTGTGTGTGGGCATGCGTGGGCGAAGGTGTTTTAGATTTTTCCTTACAGTGAGTGTTCATGCTAAAGTTGCTGCTGGTGGCACTGTTGCCTGACAGCGTCGGTGATGTTGTCGAAAATTTATCCGCAATACGATTTTTATTTATTGAGGCGAAATTCAAAAATTCATTGAAATTTTTAACCAACTTTTGCTGCGACCTTTCAGTGGCACTGATGTTTGTCTCTTCGAACGACAATCCTGTAAATAAGAGTCGATTTATATTTTACTGTTTTAATAAATGGAATACTTTTCTATTACCCACTCACCTTTTCTACTCGTCGCAGCAATTTTTTCTTTAAGGTCCTTGAAATGCCCACCACCGCCACTGCTTACACGCCGAACACTCTCGCCCACATTGGAAGCATTTGCAATTTGTTTAGCTATTATATTGCTAACGCTGTTGTAATTCGATAAAATGTTCTTATTTTGCAATTTGGCAATCCCCTTAGGAAGTTGTGGAATCTTTCCCATCAGTCCCATTTCATCACTTAGTTCTTCTGCATCATTCACTGCCATACCATCTTTTGTAGATGATTTATTAGAAGGGGCAGGCGACTTGTACGATTCAAGTATTTCTTCCTTAATGTGGTCGTCATCTTTAAACGGATTTGTTGGATGAAATATGAAGTGATTAATTTCTTTGGAACCGTTATTGGCGCTACTATCGTTACTGGTGAAAACCTCGTCATCCTCGAAATTTTCCGCACTCTCTTCAGCCTTGGTTTTGGACGTTAAACTATTGGACTCGACGTTTATTACTTCTTCCATACCTTCCATCAACAACATCATCTTGGATTCGTCTAAACTTTGATGAGCTTTTGACGAGTGACGTCGCCGGCATGCCACTGCGCGTGGCATATTATCGTCCAAACTCTGATTAAGGCGTTTCGTTGCATCTAATCGCAAGCTGTTTATCACTCCTCCACCAGCGCTAAGTGAAGAGTTTAGTGAATTCAATGAAGCAGAAGAGCTTTGGCGGCGAAGTGCACACACCTTGGTGTAAGGATTTTCACGTTGCTTCACCAGCAAATAGGAGGGACTTATTGGTGCGCCGTATGAACTTGAAAGTGAGCTGGACGTCGTTGGAACAGGGCTTTCCGAAATAGGCACAAACTCCTATATTTAAAAAAAAAGACAAAAATAAACTAGATACATTTTTACAAAATAAATATTTTCTTGCCTTTTCGAATAAGTTCAGTTCTTTTCCAATACTTGTTTCATATTTTAACGAACTCCATTGCACTTCAAGCATACGCAGGGCATCGTCAAACGGAAATTCACGCTTCAATTCGAGTAATAGCCAACGGTAACAAAAGAGCAAATCATCCGCCTGTTGTGATTTTAAGTACTCCCAAAATTCAGGATCGTAAAAACTGAGCGCCTCGGTTAGATGCGCGAATTTTTGCGTCATGGCTATGCCATCCAACATGAAATTACCCCTTACTCGTGACATTATGGCGCAGAAACAGATGTAAGCCTGTGCTTCATCGTTCATGGTTACTAGTAATGGAGAAGCGATATCCGACATGCCCTGACAATAGCTAACAGAAGGATGATTGAGCGCATATGTCGTCAGTATATTAAAAAGTGATGCAATATTTTGATTGTCGTCGCTGCCGGCGTAGAAAGGATGCAGACGATCTGTACGTAAAACGTCCTTCTTTACCATGCTGGTGACGTATGAAAGCTCGCCGGCCATGCAACCTAGAACGCAAATTAATTATTTTAACGTTTTGAAAGACAATTTTTTTATATATTTAATTACTTATATACGTACCCTGCTTAACTGCATCCTTCCACGTATCGCGTAGCCTAATGTATTGTTCCGATTTTCTCCGCATATAATCCATGCGTTGGTGACCATTCATACCATGCGGATATACATTTAAAATGTGTTTCCACACAACCCGACGCAAACTTGGATCGATTCCCCCAAAGAATATAACCTTACGCAACTCATCTGTACGTTTGATTTGTCCTAGCGCATCTAAAAACAATCTGAATTCATTGTCCGCCAAAGGCGGTCGTGGCGGCAATGATGCCATTGTTTCCTCGGACAAATTGAATGCCTTTTGAACGATGGAAAATGTTTTCTCCATATGGTTCATTATCAGACCCGGTAATTTTGTCTGCATATTTTGCACATACTTTTGTGATGCCCCTATTGACTGCTGTAGCGGCGAAATAGCTTCGCGCGCACCCGTATTGGTTGAGAAATTGGGAGAAAGTGCATTGACACTTGTATTGCCGCTGCCACTACCACTACTGACTGCACTGCTTGTGGTAGCTGCTGCTTCAATGTCCCATTCTCTTACCTCCGTAAATGGTTTAATATCGATTTGCAACATAAGACACGGTTCCGTTGCTGTCTGTATGGAGAGATTATGTATACGTAGAAAAGCCGCATCTAAATCCCAATCGGACAGTACACATAAGTATATTTCATTGCCCGCTGGATCAAATGCTTTGTATTTGATTGAGAAATCCGATTTAATGTCGAAGGCTTTAGCAAGCAATGAGTAGAGCACTTCCAACGACGTGATTTGCGGGTCGACGCTAAACTTGCGCCACTCTGGCTGAACATTTGGCTCACATTTCTAGAGGATTTGAAATTTTGTGGAGAATTTGACGAAACAATTAAAATCCAGTTTAGCGTAATTAGAGGTTTTCGCAGCCATTTTAACATATTTACCTTGACTTTAACGCGAACAGCGCAATGCGGGTAACTGGCCATATTTCTTCCACGTTCACTAATTTAAACTGAGCCAGTTAGTTGCTTAGCGTATGCTAGTGATTGTATTATAATTAACGTTCACTATGAATTCCATACCATCCATCTGTATTGCACAATTTTCACAAAGTTGCAAAAACTAGCTCTAGCAGAAACACAATTTGGGTGCAATGAACAGCTGAAAATGCCAACTGCGAAATGTTGCTGTGCCGTGTGCATGTGCAAAAGGATGCGTGTGTGTGAAATGTCAGTTGCCTGATGGGAAGTATACGAAAAGGAGTTCGTATAAACATCTGTTTGCTACCAGCAGAGTTGTTATTTTATAGTGAAGCGCTCTTCTCTCTTTTCCACAATAACCCGATGACCAAGCAGGCTTTCAGGCAAGATTTGACGTGTCTGAAAGGGGTCTAAGCTAAAGTTAGGTACATTTGTGCATATATACGGTGACCACCCGTCCTGTATTATACGGGGCCCCCTTCTTTTTTCGTCAATAGTCCTGGAAGTTTATTTATTTTATACCGGACGACAAATGTTCTGTATTTCTTTCAATGTCTCGTATTCCGTATTTTGGCGTCTTAACAACTCATACAAATTACATGCCTATGAACCAGTTTTTAAACCTGTGACGATAGGGGGTACTCCCGATTGAACTGCCACTCAGAGTCTGGAAGTAAGTAGTGTGTTAAGTGCAGCTTGCCCGTCACGTAAACTCCTCCCGCTCGATCTATTTTCCACCACGTAGTCCATATCCTTGAGGATTGCAAATACCAAAGAGAAAAGTTAATGACGGTAAGTGCAGCAGTGCATCAAGAGCAACGCCACATATTGTAGAGAAACCTTTCGTACCGCACACTCTTGATTGAGAATCTGCTACACCCTATCAGTGACACATAGCTAATTATGGGTCTGATCATAGAGGTATAAATCCAAAGACCAGTTTACATTGCCAAAATGCTGCCCATTCTTTAGAGGTTTTGTGTTCCTCGTTAGATTTCCCCGAAAGTTTTGTATCCAGAGTTACTTATAGATAATTCATTTTCGGAGAATTCTGAATTGTGACTCCTTTCATTGTAAGGGCAATGAGACCATTCAGCATTCTCCGAATCGTGGTTTCAGACTAAGCTTCAATGACGAAATATCTAACAATACATCTTTTTTTTTTTGGACTATTTATCAAAAAAAAAAGGTTTTGTTATGAAGATTTATTTATTTTGTTTAAAATAAAATGAAAAACAGATTTTAATCGATATTATTCAAAGGATCTTGTAAACGCTTGAGAAAAACGTTCAAATTTGATTATCGAACACATCAACTTACTATTGTTTGTATGTAAATTTTACTCCCAAATATTTAAAAGAAAATCTCCCCTATCAAAAAATATCAATGTGGCAAAGCTATGCTTAATGTTTACATCTGGAGAAATGTCAAAAATCTGCTTTATAATCAAAAAATAGTAGTAATGAAACTACCTTCTTTTTTGTATCATGGTTTATCTATCACCCATGATTCAATAAAGAAAGGTTTTGTAAGTAGGTTTTTTCTAAAATTTGACACTCCCACCCATAGGGATGGTTTTTGGAAGCAGGAAAAAAGTGGCAGTGTTGCCGTGTCGTCGCGAAAATAATTATCCACATAAGGGAACGTGTTAAAATAATTTGACAGCTGTGGTCTGTAGCCCGTCGTACTTTACAGCGACTTGGCAGAATCAATAGGTCTCCACGAATGTCGACAAACACAACTATCCGGCATTTAAGGGAATTTCGTCTCTTCATCCTACAATGAATTTCTGGCTTGTGGTCGCCTGCGAATGCAGAACAAAATTTAAAAGGTAGAAATTTCGCTACTAAAAATTTAAAAATGTTCCTAAAACCTGAAAAAAGATTTGGAAAAGAAATATCACTGTTGTTGTGGTTTTTAGGAGTAGGGTGGGAGTGTCATTGATAAAATTAGAGTGAGAGAAAGTTTTTCTTACAACACCTTTCATTATTGAATCATGTCTATCACCCCTATTCTAGAACCCGAATTTTGGTAATTCGTAATTCGTAGCTGCGTTACGAAAAATCCACGCCCATCGCCCAATTGCAAAACCGCCTATCTTACTATCTTATCGAGAAAGTTCCGACATGTAACCGTTTACTTTCGATCATAAGCCATCAATTCCATTCCCGGATGCCATTATCGAGTAGTCGGCAACATAAGAGATAATTGAGACTCCTTTTGGCAGTTGAGGGAGCTTTGATGTGTAGTAATTAAACAGCGGCGGAAAAGTACACCACCCAATGGATTCCCCTGTTTAATTTTTCTCGGAATGCTGGTTTTGTCCCTGAAAATAATTGACGAATGTCGACCACTCAGATAATTCCCTGACCTCCGTTTTGATACGCTGTGGGAGAGAGGAAGCCTCAATGTATTCTAGAAGCGTGGAGTGGCTGACGGTGTCAAACGCTTCAGACAGGTCCAGCGCTACTAGGACTGTTATTTCACAGGGTCGGTTCCACTTCAGGTCACGAGTTATCTGCGTATTTATGTGCTGTTGTTGTACTCTGCACTTTACGGAATCCATGCTGATGCATCACTGGGCCAGTTTGTTCGCATAGTGCGGGTATATGGGAGTTGAGTGTGGATAAGTATGAGTCTGCCACAGTATCCAGACCTTAGTGCATCCAAGCTTTGCGGGTCCCTCGCGGCAGATGAAGCTCACTATTAGTCGGAAGCAAAATTGCCGTCTATAAATTCTAGCGTCAAGCGCCAAAAACTGTCAAAAAACCTCATGCATATAGAATTTGCATGCAACTTCCAACAATAACGAGGCGCTAGCTCCGAGCACGTGTAATTTTAATTTTTGACAGCGCATTATGCGTTGGAGTTGGTTGCAGAATACAGAAAGAAGACGAACAAGAGAAAGAGGAAACGCGAATAATAAACGGTCGCCCTCGGCAGGCAGTGGCAAACCTCCGAGTGTATTTCTGCCATGAAAACCAGCTTCTCATAAAAATACAATCGCCGTTCGGATCGGCGTAAAACTGCAAGTCCCTCCCCTTTGTGTGACAACATCAGGGCGCACGCCACAAATCGGAAGAGAAGCTCGGCCAAACACTAACATATGCGTAAGCGCCAATCTATTACACAGGCCAACGAAAATGGGAAATTTTGTTTCCTAAAATCTTAAAGCTGTTTTTGATAGATTTTTTTGTGCTGATTACGAATCTGTAAGTACAAAGTTTAGATTTTGAGGAAAACGTGGTCGAAGTATGAAAAAATCGTGTTTTTTGCAATATTTGAGGAGCGTTAGCAAAAAAAAAAAAGGTGATAGAACCTTCCACTTGGACTTTAACTAACGCTAAAACTCTCGACAACTTTCCCTGGAAATATCATTCGTGCACCTTGACTCAGCACAAAAAGGTCTATCAAAAACAGCTTTTACATTTTAGGAAACAAAATTAGTGTTGCCCTGTGTTATTATTATTAGTAAGGGAGCGTAGCAATATTAATACAAGCTGCTGCTCCAGGAACGAAAAATGATTTGTAGGCTCCCTGATGTAAACATGGTTAGATCGCCGAAAGGATCAGTCAGTTTTCGCCTGGGCTTTAGAAATTCCTTATTTTTTTATAAAATAATTTTGCAGATTTTTAGAGTTTACTCACTTTATTTATTTTAATTACATTTAACTAACATATGTATCTCATTTAAAATATTTTACAAATTTGTATTATAAAAATATTGCAATATACATAAATACATAAGTATATTTTTACAAATAAGCTGTCTACAATTTAAATATACATAAATGTAAGTGTTATTAAAATTAAACAAAAAAAATACGGCTCTTTGTATACAAAATAAATGACTACGTGTTACTCTTTGTGATGAGCTCCCAAACAAGTGTCAGTTATAGCTAAATCTTAAACTATTAAGCATAATTAATAACACAGGCCAACAAGTGTCAAGAAGCAGAACCACTAATATATATTTCCGATGGATATTGGTGCGCTGAAAACGAATCAGGCCGTTATGTCAAGTTCTAAACCTATAAGTACACAAAACACTTTTCATTGTCATATTTGAGGTTATGTAGAAACGCAAATAAACTTTTTCCTAGAAAACTAGTAAAAGCACCCAGAAAAGAAATGTGTGGTTCTAAGGGTTAATGGATTATCGTAAGTATTAAAATTTCAAAATGCGATATCTCGGAGGAAAAGTTTATATTTGGGCAAACTCAATTGCATTCGAAATGAGAAGATTTGCTTTTTAAGATACTTTGACTTGTTTTCTATGTAAAATTGTATTTGCTATGCTATATAACCTCAAATGAATGATAAAAAAACGGCTTTATTGGCACTTTAGGTTTGGTTCTACGACCAGATTAGTTTTCAGCCCACCAAAGTCCTTCGGAAATGAATATTAATATATTTGCTGCAAAAAATCAAATTTTCTTGACCTGTGTAAATTTTAAAATTTTATTTGATTTTTTTTTTAATAAAACTCTTCTTTTGCATAAAGTTCATAATCATTTTAAGTTACAATGCACACACAAAGAAAATAAAACCGAAAAAAAATTAAAACAAAAACCAATAAGTTTATTTAAAATAAAATATTTGTATATTTCTTATTTAAACGTATATTCATTTGTATTAGGGTGGTCCTTAAAAAATATCAGCATCATGAGGCACCTCTTTATTTGGTTCTGCGTACAAAATAAAGGCAACCACGAAAATTTCAAATAAAGGGCCTTTTTATATCCCAAAATTCGACAAAATGTTGACTTTGACCAGCCATAACTCAGGTAGTTTATGAATCGATATGAATTTGAATAACATGTTTAGTTTATCAGATCTCCGGTTAGGATTTTGTCGAATTTTCGGGATTAAGAAAAATTTTAAATTTTTTAATCCCAGTACCGTCCCCTACAAATTTGTTTAAAATTTGAAATTCTTGTCAATAGCTTAGTTACGTACGCAGACCAAAATAAGGGTGTGCCCCATAAAAAATGTAGACGTTCATATTTTTAAGGACCACCCTAATATATATCTGTGTATGTTTTAGTATGTCACATTTAAAATTTATAGTTTTTATAACACTGCAAACTAGTTAAACAAAAAGTTCATTTATAATTTTTAGTAAGTGATTATACTTGTACATACATATACGTACACATATATTTTTCAATTGTCTTGCTTTTCAAAATTATGATATATGTATGTACATATGTATTTTCTTATTTAAAAAATTTTTTATGCAGAAAAACTTTACATCTCATATACATAGCAGTCCTAATGCTAGACACCATCGAATTTTTAAGGTGGTTCATCAGAAGGTTAATTCAATTAAAACTATTTTCTACAAAAGTTACATAAGTATGTACAAATTTTCTAAGGTAAAATATACATACATACATGCGATTTAATGCATATACTTGCATAATACACATACATATATACTTAAGTGCAATTCCATGTTTTAAATAAATGTATACACATATATTAGGGTGCATCACCAAAAAAAGATGCCGATTTTGCAACGTTATTAAAAAATGTATTTTATTTTAAGACTTCCGCCAAAATATTACGGAAAAATATTAACGTCAGCTAGACCGATTTGAAAAAAAATATCTACGAAAATCTCCTTAGTTTTTTGATTATATTGATACAATTTTTAAAAATTTGTATGCTTAATCTCTTCTACCATCTGAGGAGAAAGAATATTTTTGGAATCTATGTTTATTTATAAAAAAATGGGCTTTTGGAGGCATTTTCCAATAGGTCCAGCTCGCGTAAATCTTAATATTTTTCCGAAATATTTTGGCGGTACTTTTAAAATAGAATACATTTTATATTGCCGCTGGAGAAAGAGTACCGTTTTTGTATGGAAAGTGATGCACCCTAATGTATATAAGTTATTATTTTAAATATATAAATTTATTCTTAATATTTAAACTCATTTCAAAGGCGCTCTTGCATATATATATTTTTTAGTAATTTTATGAAAATATGACTACTGACGTATAAAATCTCAGCACTTTTTTATTGAATATTTCTCTGTATAACGACGACTTTTATATTAGTAGGGGTATTCAAACTGGGTTTGCGAAAGCTTCAATAATTTTTTTTGTGAATCTTATAACTTAGTCATTTTTTTTTTTTTTGTTTACCAAGAAGGTGCATTCAAACTATATATTTTACCAAATAAAGTTCACACCGAAGCTTTCAGACGTTATGGCTTTCAGCGCATTCGCCGCAATACAAAACTTATAGCTAAATAAAGTGCTGAAAGCCTTTTTGTGGAGTTCCACTCTAAAGTAAAAATGTAACTTCAGCACCCTTTTTTCATATTTTTTTTAAATTTTTTTCAAACTAATATGCATATCAAGAATACCCTTATTTTATGAGCTGAGTTAAAAAAAAAAATATTGTTAGATTAGAATTTCGCCCAAGCTTTGCAGACGTTCAGCGTTTTATTCAGCTTGTAATACTTATAGCTGTACATTAGGGTGCATAACCAAAAAAATATAGTTTTTTTCACCGAAGATCTAAAATTTATTTTACTTTACTTTAAAACTTCCGCCGAAATATTTCGGCAAAATATTAAAATTTACCTGAGCTGGACCCTTTTGAATATACCTCCTAAAAACTCGTCATTTTCGCAAGCAGACCTTTTAGGTTTAAGTTCTCCTATGATCTGAGATAGAAAGATTATTTTAAAGAACTAAATTTATTAAAAAAACTCGATTTTTTAAGGTATTTCCAAATGAGTCCAGCTCACGCAAATCTTAATATTTTTTCGAAATATTTCGGCGGAAATCTTAAAATATTATACATTTTATAACTTCGGCGAAAAAACGACATTATTTTGTTTTTATGAAGAGTGATACACCTTACTGTACATATAAAGTCTGAATGATTTAAAAGTTTGGTGTGGAGCTCTAGTTGCTTTATTGTGTTGTACTTTACTGCATACTATTTAATATATGTACTTATGTATTTTTATATTTATTTTTCATAAATAACTCGCTTCTAGATTTTTCCATTTTGTTTGAGGTATTTTTTGAGCTGCTAGTATACCCCTTACGCAACGACCTTAACGCTCAATGCAGTACGAAAGTAAGATCGTACACACGCGCACAAATAACGATTAATGCAGCAACAGAAGATGATTGGATTCGCTTAAGACATTTTCGACATTTATAAACGTCTACGCATTTTGTCATTTTAATTTCTATGTACATACATACATAACTACTATGTATGTATGTATATTTTCCACGCCTTTTCCAAACACCCGTTGTGCGATTTCAATTTTTCTGTATGTGCACACAATATTGACACATCCCGTATTTCTTCTCAACATTTCCACAACCCACTCTTTTCCAGTACCATCGTCCACCAACCTCATTGCGCTACTCTTCAATGATTCGGATCCTTATTATAGTCCACGTACACTCGCACCACTTCACCCGAGTACTTGCGCTGTGACGGCATAAAATAGAAATCCGGCGTATCGGCGCCACCGCTAGCGCTCATACGTGGATCTTCTCGTGAACGCGAACCATCGCGATAATGCCGACTGTTGCGTTCTTCGCGCGCAGGCGCGCCTCCTGCTGCTGCCGTGCTGGAACGATGGCCGCGTCGCTCTTGCGTGTAATAGCCAGAGGGCTGCATATTGGCATGGTGTTGTTGTTGCGCCTGCTGACGAGGCAACGAGTAGGCGCGTTCAGCATAAGAGCTACGCGTGTAGGGACCGGCGCTGCGATCATTGCTGCGATCGCGCTCATAGCGATCGTAATGTCCCCCGCCATTCTCAGTGGCTGTAACTGCAATGTTTCCGGTGCTACGCTGCACGCGTCCATTGCTGCGATAATCATGCGTACCGTTATCATACCGATTGCGGCTGCGCGAGTGATGACCACTGCCGCCACTATGACCGTTAGAACCGTCGTAGTAGAGTTGAGATTTGCTGGTGGGTGAATGGGACATGGGCAGCGTGGTTTGTTGGCTGTTCGTATTGGAAGAGCGACTACGTAACTTATCTTTGCCCGTGGCGACGACACTCGAGGATGTTGTGATGTTTTTCTCTTCAGTTTCGCCATATGGGTCGAATGCGTAGTTGGTGTTCGAAGCGAATTCTTTCCAAGGCGAATTTTGTATGAGTTTGTCCTGAAAAGTTGTCGGAAAGAAATTTTTATTATTTCTGTTACTTGCTAAGGTGTGCATAGATAATAAACCAGTCAGCATAAGGTATTTTTATATATATTAACATTTTTAAATTTATAATTCCCTTCTTGGATGCTGGACATGTAACGGACAATCGGTGAAAGTCGCAATTGCTGCGTCAGCAACGGCCAAATTTATGGCAACAATTTGTAAGTGAATTTGCATTTATTGCCTGCAATGCAAGAGGCATTCTACAAAATATAATAAATTTTGATATGGTTTTAATATACAAATGTGCATGCATAGTATTTGTGTTTCAGATAACCAGTCATACATTTTGATTGTTGCTATTTTGTCAAATTGAGCAGAATTTACAACTATTTTAGCATTCAAGTTTAAGACATAATACAAACTAATAGATATACATTAGGGTGGCCCAAACTTTTTTTCCTCCAGCCACCCCCAGATCTGGAGAATATCAAAAATAAAGAGACGATTTTTTTTTTCTTTTTTTGAAATCGATTAATATTTTCCGGTGTCGCCGGGGCTTTGAAGTTTCCCATGTATTTTACATGGGGAAAATACATTTTTTCGTAAAATAGCTATAAAATCGTTAGCAATAAATATTTCTTGATCGAATAGACTATTTCCCTTCTGAAGTTTTCAAAAAAAAAAAAAACTAGAAGCTTTTAAATTAAAAATTTTACTAAGTGTATTTTAGTAACCGATAATCTTAATTAATAAATAAAATAATGTTTTTTTTTAGAAAGATGGCAAACCCGTTTAAAATATTTTTGAAATCTCTTCAAACGCTTTTAGTTTAGATAAAGGAACTTAAATATTTTATTGCCCTTCTAATAATTTTAAGTTTCGAAATATCTGGTAACCCTATTTTTCAAAATTTTTACCACAAACCCATAGAAAACATTGAGCAGAATGAAAAAAAAAAACAAATAAACCCATCCATTGAGCTGTGCATGATGTGGTTACGAAAACACAAAATAAAAATTTTTTGTATATAACAGATAGGATTATTGGTTATTAAAACACATTTGGTAAAATTTTTAAGTTAAATAAGCATCGTAGTGTTATTTTTTAAAGACTTCTGAAGGGAAATAGTCTTAATCAATCAAAAAATATCTTTTTTAACGATTTTATAGCAAACTACTACTAAAAAATGTATTTTTTTCCATGTAAAATACATTGGAAACTTCCAAGCCCCGGCGGCACGGGTAAGTATTAATCAATTAAACAAAAAAACGTGTCTCCTTATTTTTGATATTCTTCAGTTCTGGGGGTGGCAACAGGAAAAATCAAAAAAGTTGACTTTCCTAGGTATTTTTGGACCACCCTAATATACATACATAACTACTTACTATATACAGGCGCTAGCCTATAAGAAGAGTGGTTACCACACTTCGGCATTAAAAAGTTTTTTTTTTAGTGATGCGCTTCTTCTAAATACTATTCTTTTGATGACCCTATATGAATAGATATACAAGTATGTTTTACACATTTATTTTACATGACAACTGCAGATAAATTTTTAACTGGGTAAATACTGGGGATTTTTTTTTATTATTGCACACAGATCGAAACTTGGAATAATACGGATTTTGTTAAAGAATAAACTATATTAAAAAAAAAATAATAATTAAAAATACAAAAATTATAAAATAAATAGGCAAATCTTGTCAATTTGTGAGTGTCGTAAAGTTAAATAAGTACTAAATATGTATGTATATTTAATAAATAAAAATTTATATTAAGGTTGGAGACTCTATTTAGCTTAAGTAGTTGCGAATTTAATTAATAAACAAGAAATGTATGGTGGCAACCCTCTTTGTTATATTTCCATGAATGCATATTTTTTTACAATTAACTAGATTTGTTATTTTAATTGTACTAAAATATAAGAAGTCAATTCCAAAATGACTAAATTAAAATATAATTTCGAAATATTTCAAATAAAAAATTATCTACATTGTACCCTTCATATTAAGTACAAGCAAACGAAAGGAAAAATTAAAAATTAAGAAATAAACCTTGCCATGCTAAAATTTTTGGAAATTAAATGAGCTCTTAACTGCAGTTAAGCACTTGGTGGAAATAGGCTATAAGCGATATCATTATTATTAGGTTATATTTATATAGCGCTGCGATCCAGCTAGAGCTATTGTGCTAACTCTTATCAAGTCACTCCAACCTTACGTTATTAACGAAATTAAGCAATTTGGAGGTAGTCATGTTCCAGATTTTGGATGGAGATGATAGTCGCTCTCCAAGGTGCATAAGTCTAAGTCGAGTTATACGCGGCCAATCACATAGTATATGCTCCGAGGTTTCATCCTCTGGCCCATAAAACCTGCAGTTCGTCTCCTCAGAGAGTGCCATTTTGTAAATATGATAACCCAGCCTGCAGTGCTCAGGTATCCGGTGAGAGTTCTTACACCCGCTAAGATTTAGCAGCCGCTCAGAGATTCCTCGAGAGGGAGTTGTGAATATTTTGAACTGCCGTTTGCCCTTTGTCGTGCGCCATTGGGTTGTAATTTGCAAGTCCTCCCATCACCTTAGGAGCCCTGCTGTTTATCCTTTGGATGGACCAAAGAAAGGCTGAGGGCCGACCAAGCTCCGTTTGGTACCGTATTTCGCTAGAGTGTCAGTCCTCTTGTTGCCATGGAAACCCTTATGACCCGGAACCCACCACAGGGTTATTCGGTTACTGGCTCCTACTTTTACCAGTATCTTTTTGCAACGGTCTACTAGCTTTTTTCACCGTGTTACAAGAGTCAAGTGCTCTTAACGCTGCCTGGCCATCAGACATGATATTTATTGTTGTCCCATTTATCCTTCTGCGAAGACATTCGTGGGCGCAGACTTCAACGCTGGAATAGGATTGGGTATATGCTCATCGGGACGCTTTTTCGAAATCTAGATCGATATACACTAGCCTCAGTGTTGCCATCCTCAAGTTTCGAACCATCAGTGTACCAGACTTGAGTTACCTCGCTGAACATGGCGGTTATCGTTTTACAGGTATCCCTTTCTGGTGTTATTACCTTTTGCGCTTTGTTGTTGTTAAATTAGGTCAGATTCGGTAGCATTGAGTCTGTGAGTTTTACAAGGGAAATGATGATTTTAGGACACCCAAATGACCCCTTAAGTCCCTACTTTTCAAGCTACTTAGGTTCGGCAGCCTCAGTGCGCTCCAGTAAGCCTCTTTCTCTATAGGTATCTATATATCGGTACTATAAGATATACAGTAACGCGGTATAATGCGGTAATACGGTTCAGCTGTATCATTTGATAGCATAACGTTATACCGTGCAACACAGGGCAGGGCCAGTGATGGGCAAAATTGTATTTAATAACTATTAAGTACTAAGAACATAAGTACTTAGGTATTTATATTGCAGTAAACACCAAGGTACTATTTACTTAAATATTTTGGATATTGTCTACTATATACCGAATATGCTAGTATTAACTTATTTGCACTGCGCTAAATACTTAGTCTAAAAGTATTTAGTTGGTTTCATCTAACGCAACACCGAGTACAAAAGTATTTTGAGATTTTAGCTTCTTTAACTACCACGAACCAAAGTATTTAGAAACTTCGTATTTTCTAAAAAGTAAGTACTTGTTATTTAGTCAGTGTAAAAATAAAAATTTCTGAATTTTCGAGACTATTTCAGGATTTTCTAGACTTCTTCGGGATATGTCTAAGATTTTCGGAACAATATCGAGATTGTTAAGACTTTTTCGGTATTTTCAAGGTTACTTCGGCATTTTTGGGGCTATTTCAAGATTTTCGGTAATTTAGGGACTATTTCGGGACTTTCGAGACTACTTCGAGATTTTTAGGATTTACGAGATTGACGCACTATTTCTAGATTATCGGGACTGTTTCGCCATTTTCGAGACTACTTCGAAGTTTTCGGGACTACCTCGGGATTTCTGCGATGTTAGGAACTAAAAATACGTATATATAAAAATATAAAAATAACAATATCGATAAATATATCGATAACAATACCGATTATTATATCGATGACAATATCAATCACAAAATCGATAGCAATATGGACAAATAAATCAATTGCAATATCGATACATCTATCGACATCAAGATCAATAAATGCAACGGGAATCCCGAAGTGGTCTCGAAAATGCCGAAATAGTCGCGAGAATCCCGAGAAATAGTCTTGAAAATCCTAATTTAGTCCCGGGAATCTATAAAATCCCGAAATAGTTCCCAAGTTGAGGTGTGGTGAGTTTAGTTGTGGTGAGTTAAAGTTTGATGAATTTGGGAGTGCTAGGATCAGGTGTGGTGGGCGTAAGGTTCCTTTTAAATTTTTCTTAAACCATAAAGTATTTATTTGTAAGTATTTAGTTATCTACTAATAACCTTACTACTTCAGTGTTGCATCTCTAAAGCCCCTGAGTACTTATCGCCTGCTAAATACTTAATTTGTTTCTACTTCAGGATCTAGCAGCTCCTAGATACCCAAGTTTTTTTTACATTAGTATCTAATTGTTTTTTACTTGAGTATATACCAACTCCTAAATAACTGACTTTTTCACTGGATTATTTAGAAAACTCCTTAGGTTTTTCTTACTTGACTATTGATGAGATGTCTATCTCAACATACTAAGTATTTAGTATCCAAACTGGTAATTTAAATACAAAAGTACTTCAGTACGCCCATCACTGGTATACACTATCTACAAACGTACCACAATCTATACAGCAAGCAATAAATAATCTTACACATATCGTTACCTTAATATAGAAAGGCCCTACCTAACATTTTGGTTTCTTTATGGGCTGCTGAAAAACTCTGTAGAAAATCAAGGCTGTTCTTGTTGAAGGATCTAACTAATTTTATGCTGTATTAGTTATTTTTAAAATCCAATAGGTTTTAGTGAATAATTGGCAGACCTTTCAACAGTGCTGGATTTGAAAAGTAAATGAGTTAGGACTCCTCTATATTAAGGTAACGATATCTACTACATACTTATAATGCATTAACAGACGTACAAATAAATCGTACAATTTTATAAACCAAATACAAACTATTTACAAATCCATAAACAAAATAGCAAAAACAAATGCTGACTGGCTTATTGATACTATGCTTAAGTACATACATACATACAAATGCATATGTAGATATATATACATATGCACAAGAGATAAAGGGGATGAGTAATGGAAATGGTTTAGGACGTGTAAAGCTCACGAAAAGGTTAATATAAGACAGAAGAAGAATAGGGGGAAAAGGACGATATGAAAGTTAATTAGAATATGAAAGTATAAATATTTAGTTGAAGATTGTGTAAACAGTTAATAAAAAAAAAAAACAATTTAGAAACATTTAGTGGGTAAATTTTGAATCAAGAAAAAGTAGTCAGTTGCAGAAGGAAAGCGTGCAGTCAGAGTGATGAAAGATTTTTATTTTACTTTTTATTTAATTTAATTACCAATGCAAATTGTGAGTAGATACAAAACGGTAGGGATATTTTCGCTACATGCAATTGCACTAGGGATGGGATGAAATTCTTCAATGCACTTGCTGGAGTAACTGGCCAACGCATTTTAAAGGCAGCTAGTATTTCATTTTGTTTAGTTTATATATATGTATGTATTTATGCAAGTACAAATACATTACCTACACAAGTATATATGTACGCATTTAGTTTAACGATTGTGCTTTAGTTTTATTTAAATTTTGGGGTTTTCCTTCCGTTATTTTTTTTATTATTTAATTTTCAAAGTTCACTAGAGGGTTGATAGTAGCGTTGTTGGTGTAGCCGTTGCTGATATATCCGCCATTCGTCGGGTATTACGTAAACAAGCTTTAAATATTGTCACACAATGAAATTGGTATTAATTATGGGATGGGACAATTTTTATTATTATTATTTTTTTTTATACAAATTTACATATGTGCTATGGTGTATATGGTTTTGGATTTGGTATTTGTGGTATTGGTGATTGTTTAATTTGAATGTATGTATGTTTGTGTAAATCTACAAAACGATACCTATGATTAACGGTGTTAACACTCATACATACATACATACATACCAATATACATATGTACATGGTGTTTTAAATAAAAATAAAAAATAAATAACAAAATAAAAGTGTTAGAGCTGGTTTTCACTATGTCGTATTTTGACGACAAAATTTGTCTTCATATTGTGACACATCTTTATCTCCTTTATTCATACAGCCACCGAATATACTATAGGCCAAAGACGGGCAGATAGCCGATTTAGCAGCGCAAGTACACGACTGAAGACCTATTCTGATCTCAATCAATCGATAGATCCTTTGTTTGGTATCATTTTAAAATGTGTTTTCACTTATTTGATGAATTGAATTTGACATAGTGAAAACCAGCCTTAAGATAGAGTGGGCCGTTGTGAAAAGGAATTAAATTTTCAGCCATTCAACCGAAACCGAAATTTTGCAAATACTTACTAGGACACAAAATTCAATAAAAAAATTATATTACCATTTTTTCTTGTGAGTATTTAAAAAAAAATATTTTTCGACTTGATGATGCTCCTCAATTTACACCTCGCTTCACGTGAATAGGCAAAAAATGTATCTTCAAGAAACTTAGACTTCCTAAAGCTTTCTGGTTGCCTTAGTTTTTCCAAAAATTATAAGTTTTGAAGCAAAGAAAATGAAGAAAATGCCTTATCACGCTAGATGTAATTACTAGCCAAAGCACGGCTTGCGTCGCGACGCCTGTTAAGAATGTGGGATCTCGGCAAGTACTTCATTAAATGGTTTGTCAAGCAAATTAAAATAGATAAAATAGAAATATTTTTAAAAATTAAATGAAATTAAAAAAATATATTTTTCTTTTTCAAACAAAAAAGCCGAAAAATTAAATGAGAAAAAAATATATGCCAAAAAAGAAGGAAATATGTAGTACTTAAAGATTAAATAACAACATCTCTTTTAAACAAAATCAAAAATTAAATTAAAAAATGAATAAAATAAAAAAATTTAAAAAATAAAAAGAGATACGAAATAATACAAATAGATTTTTCTTCCTAAATCAGTAAAACACAAAAATTAAAAGAAAACGAAGTAACCACAAGTGAAACAAAATGAATAAAAAAAGAGGAAGCAAATAAAATAAAACTAAAAATTAGATAAAATTAAAAAAAGGTTTTTCTTTTTTAAGCAACAAAATCTAGAAAAGAAAATTAAACTAAAAAAGAAAAAAAGTTTTAAAAAAGTAGATTAAGTCCCAAAAAATAAAATAAAATAAAAGAAATATATTTAATTGTTATAAGAAAATTAAATTAACAAAAAAACTAATTAAATTTTGAAAATTCTTGAAATTAGAGGAAATTTAATTTTTTAATTTTTAAACAATGCAATTTTAAAATTAGAAGATAATAAAGCTAAAAAGTGAAAAAATAATTAAATGAAGAAAAAATAAGTTTATAAAAATTAAATGAAATATTCATTTTAAAACAATAAAATACAAAAATTATATGAAAATTAAATTAAAAAAGAAAAAAAAAATTATATAAAAAAAGCTCCGCTGCCCGACGACCCGAACTCGTATTCCACGGCACGCCTGTGCTTTTTTCACTCCACCATTGCGACTGTTGGAGCGAGGCGAGCTAAATAGTAAACAAGTGCTTTCTCTTAAAATAGCTTTTCAACACGAGTGGAGATTGAGGGGGCTTTTTTTCTATGACTTTTGTGCTAGAATAACAAAACTATCTGCCATCTGTCTTACGAAAATCTTTTTTGAAAAGCAATTAAAAAAAATATTCTTTCTCCGACCCGATATTTATTTTTTTAATAGTTCTACAGGAATAATCGAATTATTTCCATAGCCAAAGTTTAATGATTTTTGGTGGCTATAATTTACTGATATTAGGGTGGCACGCTAGGGTGACTTAAGTTAATGAACTTTGAAACAGAAATTTTAAGATCCGACTATTAATGCCTAAGATATGACGAACATTGTAAAAAGGCGACACCTGCATTCGGCAAAAAAAAAATGAAATTTGCCTTCGAATCGAAATACTTCCTTGGCAAAAGTTTGATGGTTTTTATCGAGCTTTTATCTACTGACATTAGGATGGTTCTTTAGGGTGACAAGAAATGAAGTCTGGTGGGTACGTACTAGAAAGGGCTAATTTAGGCCAATGAACTTTGGCTCCAACAAAAAAAATGCTTCATCGAGACAAGAACATCGATATTATCATTCCTCAAGGCCCGACTGTAAATGCCGATGATATGACGAAAAATATAAAAAAAAACGGGCCTCACGTTCGGCAAAACAGGCATTCACTGTAGACTCAAGGGTGTACGGCGAACTATTTTTTTCTGGCACGGTCTAGTGTACATCCATACCATGTTCAAATTTTAAGGCATACTAAACTTCATATAAATATTAATAACAACGACGCCCCACTCTAACTTAATCGGTAATAGTAAGTAGATACATACATATGTACGTTTGCTTAAACTTACCTTTTGTGTTTTATTTTTACGTGATGTCTTGCAGATGGTGCAGATCGCTTGCACCAATGCAATGAATACCAAAGCGGCTATCAAGCCCAGCACTATGTACAATCGTACTTCGGAGAGTTCGAAGAACGAAAGTAAGGTTTCGTCATCCTTATTGGCTGTTTTATCTGAAATGTACGGAAACAAGAATGTAATTAGAATGAAACAAAAAAAAAAAAAACGCAGGTAATCCTATTAAAGTTCAATGTAAAAAAAAATAAAAAATCACGTATACGCCATGTCAACACTTACATTCCAATGCCTCGAAGTCTAAGAATTGTGGATCCACCGTCAGTGAGCCCACTTTGCCTGTGGCAATTTTATCTTGCAGGGCTGCCTTTACAATATCACCATTCTTTGCCGATTCACTATTATCCGCACCTACTGTATTGGTTGCCAACGCATTGCCCTTCTCATAGTCGGCTTTATCGAACATGGCTTGCAATTTAGCCACCATTGTTGTGCCTTGTCTGTTAAAGTAAAATGAGAAAGTATGTATACATGTATTTATACAAAAGTATTGCGAGTATGAATTGAAAATAAATCTTGCATATATGGACGCTTGAAAGTACGTTAAGCTGGACATAAATTTGTTCAAGTTTAAAAACCGACATTTAAGAAATGAAGATTTTTCGTGATTTCAAAATTGGACGTGCATTTTTTGTTACTTATAGAAACTGGGCATACAATTTTGTTAATTGAAAACTAAAAAAAAGCTTTGGAAATTTGAAAACTGAACATACGTTTTTCGACATAAAAACTGGATATACATTTTTGGTCAAGAAAAATTGGACCAATATTTTTGATAGTTTAAACTAGACATTATTTTTTAGGTATCTAAAAACTTGGCATACATGTTCGATCATGTAAAGCTGAGCATTAAATTATTACTTACTATATCCATTTTCCAAAGGCATAAGCTGTTATGACGCAACATTTCTTCGACTTTTAATTGATCAAACATATAGATAAAAGTTGAAAAATGTATATCTAAATTTTTAGCTACCAAAAATGTTTGCATAGTTTTTGAGTTATCAAAATTTCATACCCAGTTTTTGAATGTCGAAATATTTATGTGCAGTTTTTATGACTGAAAATTTATGTTCAATCTTTTCATGTCGAAAAATTTATGTTTGGTTTTTTAGATTACCAAAAAACTATGACGGTTTTTTGAATTGACAAAAATTTATCCCCAATGTTTACCAGTCTTTAGCTAAAAACGTCAAAAGGTGAGATAGAAAGCTGAACAGCAAATACAAATTGCAGGCCATCTTTTCAAGGTAAAATATTCTATTCATTTGTCCACCGTAAATTTTTAAATGCTCAGAGTTTAATAATTTTAAATTTTTATATACGAATTGAATTCGGTATCGTTTATTGCTTAAAAACTGCTTGTTAAACTACCAAACGCTTTACAAATCGTATCAAGATTATTAAAAGAATAATCGAATTGGTTTACAAAGCGAAGTCAGCGCTAAATTTTGAAATTTTTTTAATAAACATTTTTGTACTCAAAAACATAAATTTACAACTCAATTTCGATAACTTACTTTTCAAAGCCCACAATTTCCGTCTTATAGTAACCAGGAATATTGTTGAGAATGCCATTGAAGGAGTCTGAGATAGTGGCGGCCAAGTTGTTGAACTCCACGGTACCCGGTTGTGGTGCTTCAAACGACTCAGCCAGATTCATGAGTTTTACACCAACAGCATACACAAGTCGATTTGGCGCTGGCGTTGCGGTATTAAAAACGCTTTCCAGTTCTTTAAGAAAAATAATAGACTCAAATAGAAATACATGACTTAGTAGTTTCATTGAATAAATACCCTTGCCGCAGGACTTAATGCACACACGCGTGGCAGAAATGGTTGGCGTGCGTTCGTGCTTGGCCATTTTCTTGTTGACAGCATGGAATGCCCCACCCAATACAGGAAAGAATAGATAAAGACAATGATCATCGGTGAATGATAAGTCCTGCAATTTTAGAAAAACAATGATTTTCGAACCCATAAATGCGACCAATACACAGTCAACAACGCACCTGCTCATCATTGCTAACGCGCTTGCGATCGAATTCCAAAATCGTCACACCATGCTCGATGCGGCCTGTAGGTGTGCCGATTATGTCCTGCCGCACATCTAATTTCGGCGCGCCGTAACCATTAATCCATGTATCCATTAGGAAAGGACGTCCATTGCGATCTACCCAACCGATAATGGCGTCTGTTTGCGACATCTTCTCATCACCGCTGAAACCAATGCCAGTCCAGGTTTGTGTATTGGACGTCTCGATGTACCAACGCATTACATCGCCGCGACCCACAGTCTCCCAACGAGCGTAGTATTCGCAAGTGTGATTTTCAGGCGAACAATCGCTGGGGAATTTCCAATGGCCCAGGCAATCGTTGTCTAGCAAATTTGTAGAAGCGTCCGTTACCCCATCTGCTGCGGCAGTCTTTTCCTTCTCTGCAATTAAGCATTCACAGTGTTGAGGCATCGACACATTTTACGGGTATTTTCATTTCTTAATAAATAGTTGTTTCACTCACCAAAGAAATTCAGTTGTGTAACGCCACGTTGCATTCTGTGTCCATGATATTTCAACTCGTCCGGTTGATAGAAATCCTTCACCGATGCTGTTTCCGTTTCGATCCCAGAAGCTGGTATGTGCACATATTGTCCGGGCTCCTGACCCTTCGCCCAGATCACATGCGTCAACGTGTCGTCCAGTGTGTGGTCGGTAGGTTCAGTAGCCACAAGCTTCTTGCGGAATATGATAGTGGTAGTACCATTCTCTTCAAAGCCCGTACCGAGCGAGAGATCCGATTTACCACCGTAAAATTCATCTCTTCGTGGCGTCGAACGATCGCGCGTATAATAGTCGCCAACACGACTGGCCATACCACGCGCCGAACCTATAACTATATCAGTGCAATCCATGGGATTGAAGTCGAATTTGGGCGTGTAGGGGTTCAGTCTTAACTTCGGTTCTATAAATGGAGATAATGAATAGTGTAAATATCAGATCTTTTGAGAAATTTGAGTAAAATAGTAAAAAATATGGTAATGCAAAGTGAAAAGTGCAGAATACGGTGCTGGGTGGGTGTCTGGGTGCATGCGTGGAAATGTTATGTGTTTGCGAAGTGCAGTTATATTTACCACTCTTGGTAATAGCTTGCTTGGAATTAAGCTGATTTTTAGCGTGTGGCTGTGGTTCGGCCGAAGGCTCTGGCACCGCTTTCGGTTCCGGCTCCGCAGTTGGTTCAGGTGCAGGCTCCGGTTCGGAAGACGGTTCCGGCACAGAAGAAGGTTCTGGTTCCGGGGATGGTTCTGGTTCAGGCTTTGGCTCTGGTTCAGCCTTTGGCTCCGGCTCAGACTTTGGTTCATGTTCTGATTTTGGTTCGGGTTCTGGCTTTGGCTCTGGCACAGATTTTGGCTCGGGCTCTGACTTTGGTTCTGGTTCAGGTTTTGGTTCCGGCTCTGATTTCGGCTCCGGTTCAGGTTTTGGCTCCGGCTCTGATTTTGGTTCCGGTTCAGCGACGGGTTCAGGTTCTGCCCGCGGTTCAGGTGCAGGCGTTGGTTCAGGATAATTATCATTGATCGTTTCTGTTAAGTTTTTAGTATTTGCAAAGGAAATAAAATATTTCGAAAGGATTTAAAGTGCGATTAATAAGAGTGAAGAGAGTTTGAACAAAAAAAAAAAAAAAAATGTCGAGTTGAACACTAAAGCTAATCATATTTCTGTGTTGAGTGCTTTAGGTAAGTTTTACCGACAGTTACTAAATACAATTATTGCATTTTTTACACTTACCTGGTGCTTGACGTCTCCTACGTCCTGCTGAGGAGCTCACGCGGTATGAAACGCTAGTAGCTACTGAGGTAACACCCTCCATATTTTGCAATATATCATCTTCATGCTTAGCAACGCGTTTGGACTTTGTTGATGTTGCCGGTTCTGGCGTGGGTTCAGAACTCGGCTCAGGTTCTGGTATGGTTTCTGGTTCAGCAGTGGGTTCAGGCTCTGGCTTTGGTTCTGGTTCCGATTTTGGCTCTGGCTCTGGTTGGGGCTCTGGCTCCGATTTAGGTTCAGGCTCTGCTGTGGGCTCTGGCTCGGGTTTTGGTTCTGGTTCGGCACTTGGTTCCGGTTCTGGCTGTGGCTCAGGTACGGCAACTGGTTCATTTTGCGTTAGAGTAGTCTTCAAATCACCGATATCACGTATGAGCGGGAAATTTTTACACTCCACGTTTAGCGAATTCGGTCGCCAACCCAAACCTACCCAAGATGTGCCATTTACTTTGAGCACCACTTCAATTTCTTTAAGCTCCTCCAGCAAACGCCAGTAGAGACGAAAATCAGGCGATAATTGTTTCATCGAATAGGCAGTCATTTCCAACTCGGTGGTCCGGTAAGGTGATTTCTTGTTGCAACCAATGCCATACCAGCCGAAATTACAATAACACTGTTTACGTGGCAGTGATGTGCCCGCTAGGTCGATACATTTGCCTTGACTGCCACAGTCTTGATTGGTGGAACATTCGTCTCTGTACTGGCAATTCGGCCCATAGTAATTCTTCTCACACTTGCAACGCGATGGGAAATATTTTCCATTGCCTGAACAGGCCTCGCGGAAGTCTTTGCGATTCTTTACGTCAACATCGGCGCACGACCAAAAGCGATAGCCAGCCGACCACTCGTCAGCCTGGCGGAGTAGGCGCAGTGTGCAGTTATGGCATTCAAAATCTTTGGGTATGCTAACCTGAAACGACTGGGCACTGGGTGAAGGAGGAGTAAATAAATGTAGATAGAATAGTTTGTACAGTAAAACATAGATACATTTTAATATAATATTATAGATAAAAAAGCTCTAAAGGCCGTTAAAAATGAAATTTTTTATAAATGCGATATTAAGAAGCAAAACACACCGAAATTCAGCTTTAGTGGTTGCAACTTTAGGTCGAGAGGCTGGAGAACAAAACCAGATGAAAATGAGATTGTAATTTACAGAAGAGGATATTAAAAAATTATCATTTTTTGTTATCAAACACAAATATTCAGAGATGTATGGGTACGGCCGCAGTGGTCGTATAATTTTTAAGCAGACACTTAGTTCAGATCTTTAACTCAGGTAATGCTTGTGATACTAAATCATCAATGGGCCGGGAGAGAGCTTCTCCTCTTACGTCCGCGTGATTTACTTTTGAGAGTTTTCTATATTTTTTATATGGATAGGCACAGTTTTTGCGCATAACCGTTGTAAATATATAATCCAGAGAAAATGTGAGCGAGCAACGCATCGCAAGATTAGGTGGTGCCAGCATCCTAAATATATGATGAAAACTCGTCCGGTCCGAAAACATGCTTTATAGAGTATTCTCACTCACGCAGGAGCTTCAAAACTTGAGGACCCCTAAAACTAATACTGAGATGGGCTGGAAACCAGTAAAGAGTACTGCAGTGGTATAAAAGCCAATTCGCAAAGCTGGGTTCACTCAAATGGCTTGATGACCTTTTTACGGAGGCAAGCATTGAGACTCTCTCTTTTTTTGTGTAGCCTCACTTGCTTGGAAATAAGGTGATGGTTACACATTCCACGCCCTCGACAAAAGACGTATTAGTGTTGTTGCAACAACTGTGGCGAACGAAGATACTATTGGATCCTTTGACTGCTTGCTATTGTATACCACAATCGTAGAGGCCACTTGTCGTCAGCTTCGTTTATAAGTTTGGGAAGCGTGACTTTAGCTTCAAGCCCATAAGAATGATGTTCTTTAAGTGTTAAGTTACAAGTACTATGGCTGTGCATCAACATGCCTATAAGGCGGGAAAATCTAGTGAGACTGATCTAACAAAAAAAAAAAGTGCTTTAGTCATCTTTTTAGACACTGCCCTTAGGGCGATGTGCTTTTCACTTTGCCTTGGTGTCATACATAAGACCTCCAAAGCCTTAGCGGCTATTTGCAAAGTAAAAAGGTCTCTGGCAAAATACGTATGGATCTATATCTCTATGATCAAATTCATTATCGGTTATGCATCAGAGGTATAGTATACCAGACTCTGCAGCAATAGAAAATCGAAAAATGCTACAAAGCAGTCATCGTGTGTTGTACGGGGCCTGCTCTACGGCGCCTGGCTCTGCACTTGATGCCCTGCCATACTTATCATCGATTTGCAGCTTTAAACTTGGTGAGGTCCTTACGACCAGTTGTAGTCTTAAAAGAAATGGGTGCTGGTGGCAGAGTTCATTACACCACTTCCAGACCAGTTCCACAATGCAAATCTTAGCTATGTAAATTGTGTTAAAAAACATAACGACCTTTTTTTACTCTGAGTGCTAGGCCATTCGGCATCATCTGGTAATGAGATAACTGACTATTTGGATAGAGAGGGCTCAGAAAAGGTGCCCGCAACCAGTTATAACACTCGGGAAATGAAGCCACCATAAGAAATAGCTGGATCTATCACTCAGCATTGTCTGAGAGGCTTCGCGTGGTTGCGTGGTTCGTGAAGAAGGTGTGACTGCTGATAACTTGTGGGATTGTTTACTGGACACTTCGCTGGCCAAAAATATCTGACTTCGATCAGCATACATTACAACCCCGATTGCTCTTCCTCTCTCTCTGAAGAGAATGAAACGCCGGCGGAACAGTTTTTATGTCTGCGTCCCGCTTTTGCAGGCATTACGTGTGAGGCTTTCGACAGCGATGTGTTGAGAGACGAACAACTCAACTCTTTTACACCCACCCCTGCTTCGATTTTTTCGTATATTGTGTAGTTTTAAAGCAAATTAAAAGGAATATAGGGCAGTAAAATTGGTGGTAGGTAGCCTGAGTGCTGTTTTTTGTTTCTCGCTTCCAATCTTCGCCAATAGTTCAGAGAAGATTTGTTTCAGTTTCGTTATATGCATGAAAATTTATGAGACCTTTGTCTTCAAATTTTTCTTAGAGAGAAAGTTTCTTAGACTTCTATAGCCGCTTCGTTCTTTGCCAGAACATTCCAGAGACTTTTGTTCCCATTTTGTTCGCTTAGAAATGCTCACGAAGGTATTGTTCGCATTTTGTTCACTTTGTTCTTATATAAGTCCCGTTGAGGATATTATCGACAGTTTTGTTTTAACTTCCGAAGGTTTTGTTCTCATTTCGGTTTAGGTTTTTAAGCGTTCTCTCGATCATTTCTTATTATTAAAACACTCTCAAGATCATCATATTCAATGTTTGTATGTAAAGATATTAGCCCAAAATGAGCCGTAACGCAATAAATAAGCCTTGGGGGGAAAAATTGTCTCTAATATTTTATTTTTGTTTTGGTCCAATTGAACGCAGTTTTGGACCATCCTATTTATCGGAAAAATTTCCACAACATACACTTAAAACTGCACGAGCAAAACAGATATTAAACATTTTATTTTTTTCTTCAAACTGATATTTATTGAAAATCTATCTTTGACTGAGCTGCCTCCAGCCAGGGCATTTTGGATGTTTTAGAGTACTTATTTCTGACATGACCCCGGCAGAAATTTGTTTATTACGGAATTTTCGAAATTTGAAAAATGGGCTATTTGACATAATGTGGTATGGAGTGGGAGGACTTTAATTAACTTACGTAACATCAGTGCGCACGAATTCCGACTCATTGACATGCGGCGTCAGGTCCAACACAGGCCGGTCGAGTTCGTCAAGTAATTGTAGGCGGAAGCCACCCTAAAATCACAAGAAAAGAATATAACTACAAATTAGTGTTGCCATTTTTAATGCGAGTCGTAATTAAATTATTTATGTATATAGAAAAGAATAAATACATAAGGAGATATGTGTGAAATATTGTGCAAAAATGTCAACGCTTTGTTTTTAATTGTGTTGTTGTGCTACCAATAATGTAATTATAAATATATACTATGTAACTCCTTTTATGTTTTATTTTGCTTTCAAAATTTTAACTCATGCACCGCTAAAGTGCAACTAACTCCCAGGCAAAAAAACATTCAGCGTCACCTTCATCTTGGCTGTCTGTAAATCAGCAGGCCCTAACGTGCCAACATCAAATTAAGCACAAACCCACCTCAGGCATACAAGCGTGTCGTGGCTTTTTAGTTTTTTAATTTACATTGTTTTTTGTTTTAATTTGCTTTGATTTGGTTCGCTTTTTCGTTTCTCGCGCACATGCCTTTCGCGCTGTACAAAAGTCATACGGTAAAGTGTTTAAGCCAAGTCAGTCAAGCACTGCTAAAGTTCTAAGTAACGTTCAGTCAAGCAGCTAGTTACCTATGTGGGTATTTGGCCAAAACGGTTCAGCACTTACAACTACATTCTATGTACATATATACTCAGCATACATACATATATAAACACATATATACATTACGTGCATATGAGTTTTCTTATAAAAAATCAGTCAGCGTGGCCGCACATCATAAAAGCGTCAGACTCTCTCAATTAATGTGTTCTTGAATTGCAGTTATTATTATTTTTAAACAATATATGAGAAATTCAGCACATATCGCCTTATAATTGCATTATTATAAATATGTAATATAATTATTTGTGTGTGAGTTTTCGCGATGATAAGTAGGTACTGAAAGGGCATATTATAATACAAACGTAGTATGTATGTAGATTAGGGTGCGCCACATTTTTTCTTCAAATAGTTGAAATTTCGTTCAAGAAGTGTTAGTGCTAGCTCTGCCGGACAAACGATGCTCCCACTTCGCCTTTCTGCGATCATTAAGCATGCAGCACGAAAAACTTCAACCCGAACATTTCAGAAGATCGACGCTACTCCAAAAAAGACAGATAGGAGCCACAACCTACGCCTGAAATAGAATTATAACACCATCGATGTCTCCTACAACAGCAAGAAGCCAGCAGATTCACAGAGCGCAGAACTGCACCCAGCAACATTAGTAGATACTAAGTTCACTCCTAGTATCAGTGGCGAGGTGTTTATGCCACAGTCAGTAGGCGCTTATATGATGAAAGGAGCCAGTGAATGGCTAACAACCAGCGACACATTATATTCAATTCTGAAACAATTGACCTGAAACCTGGAGAGACAGCGGCGTATCGTCAATGATTAAACCAGTTCGCAGCGCATACGCGAATGGGATCCTAGGCCGTTCCAACCGCCAAGGCAGTGCGGCTTTGAAACTCGTGCCTTCCGTCCGCCTGCCCAACACGAAAGCCAGCACCCAAAGTGTCGGCGCGAAAGGTAACCTAGGCTGTTCCAACCTCCAAGGCATTGTACAAACGTTACGGGCTTGATACTCATCATTTCTGAATGCTTCCTGGTACGTTAAGTTTAAAGGCAAACTTTTCTCACACAAGTGGCAGAAGTCCAATGATTTGCGTATTTTGAGTAGTTGACTTTAATTAGGGACAATGATTTCTCCAGGGAGACAACTCCTCGAAATCGACCCGCCAAAACTGACATACCGCTTGTCGTATAGACACCTCATAATTTCGAAGAAGGATCTGATTGCCAATGGGTTAGTCGATGCTCTGTGTGCCAAGTGCTCTACTTTGCATCCTCAGAGACCTGAGAAACGGCAACGGAAAGGGCAAAAATGCAGGGATCCTGGGAACGGAGATCCTGGGCTGAAATAGCAAGACAGAGCGAAGAGCATAGTCCTTAAAGACGAAAGTATTCTTACTCTTATCATTTGAGGGCGTGCTATGAATATCTATACATAAACATACATATAACAGTGGCGGATCCAGCCGGGGAAGGGAGGGGGGTTAGGTGTTTGGACGTTAAACTACGTGTCAGTCAGTGGCGGACCCACGGGGGGTGTTTTAATACATAGACGCCGTATCATACATACATATGCGCACATAGTTTAACACTCGAAATCAATACGGGTCAATACGGGGCAAATGAATTGAGAAACTGCTAGGACGGTGATTTCTTCTAAACAAAGGTAAATAGTTTAGGTGCTGCTTACCAAAAGAGAAAAATTAAGAAATTTCGAAACAACTTGCGCTCACAATGTTCATATGGTCTATTCTGGGGCACCCTAATACTTACATATGTATATACATACATACATACGTATAATATCAGTAAACAGTAAGTTTTAATGAATGAGAACTAAAACAGCGTCACTTGAACGTAAAAATTGCCGTAATAATGTAATAATGTATATATATATATATGCTTAGTTAATTAGAAGATTGAATTAAAATAAAGGGCAAAAAACTTAAGAACAATATATAACAAAGAAATTATAGGGCTACACATTATAATAGTATGCATATGATGGAAGTGATAAAAAATAAGTTGTGCACTTTTTATACCACCGGGAGCACATAATTAAAAGCTTGTATTTTTTAATATTTTCAGCTTACAATAGCTATGAAATGCTTATATCAGATTCTCATGTTACCGCTAAAAAATAGCTAACAGCCGTGCTAACTATGTACTCCTATATATACATACATACATGTGTAGATAATACGTAGAGCAAGAACTACAAAAATTGAAGTTTAGTAAATCAAGTGGTTCCCTAAAATTACAACCAGCGCTTTTTTAGGATTTGGCTGGTCGATCAGGATTGGAAATCGCAGGGAAAATGGCTCCTTTCTTCTTCTTATTTGGCGATGAACCGCTTTGTGGGTTTGGGCCAAGACAAATTTCTTCTTCTTCTTATTTGGCACTACAACCGTTCGTCGGTTTGGGCCGAGACCTAAAAGCTTCCCCCATTGGCTCTCTCCTTTGCGAATTCGTGACAGTTGGTTATCCCGAGCGCAGACAGGTCTCTCTGCTAAAATAGTACGAAATCTTTACAACTTTTCACTCTAAGCTAGCGATATGCTTTATCGCAATCATTATTTAAATTAATATAAATCAAAAGTTAATTTTTTATTACTGAGGTAGTCGCTTTGTTTCTTTCATCTCACCATTTCACAATCTCAATAGAAAAAACTCTTTCTGTGAATGCCGAAGTTGCAGGAATAGAGAGCATAAGCGAAATAATTAATTAATAATTAGTTAACTACGCACTGTCAATTTGGCCCTAAGTATTTTTAAAAATGTTGCCATTTTTTATCTGTGGACCCTTTGTTTTAAAGTATATTGTTATTTCAGTATAAATGTCACACATTTCAAAAAATTTCCTTCTTGGAAATTACTGAATTATATTTATATTTATAACTGAAGAAATATAGTATTTTTGCATGCAATATCTTTTTCCAACAGTATATAGTACGCAGAACAAAAAAATAGCACAATACTATATATTATAGTACGGTTGGTAACCCTACCGTGAGCCCCCACAGTATCTAGTTTTGAGCAAAAATGCTGAACTAAAAAAAATCGTCCTCAAACTTGGATCCGATTCGATTTGGAATTTTTAAAATACGATACCAGATTTGTATTTTGTATATCGTTCATTTCGATAAGTAAAATTTCAAAATTGAAAATATTTTTCCTGGGTTATTTATATGGAATCTAATATTCACGCAACAAAGGGTCCCTGACGCAACAGAATCCCTACCTCCTCTAACTACATTCCAACTCAAAACATGGCCTCTCGCTCTCCCTCAGCAAAACAACTTTTATTAAAATTGCTACTGTTCGTGAAATGCTAAATTCATTGCGCTGGTCCTGGTGCTATTTTTTACGCTGATAAAAAAAAAATGTTCCTAAGTGTTTCTGATAAGATACCTACTTACCTACTTATTGTATAAACTTGTATGG